CATATGCCTACAAGGAAGACCAGTTGATACTACTACTATTCAACTTCACGTACCAACCACCAAAGCCAAAGATGAGGAAATTGAAGATTTTTATCAACTTCTGCAGTCTGAAATTGACCAAACAAGCAATCAAGATGTGTTGATTATCACTGGTGACTGACTGGAATGCAAAAGTTGGAAACGAAGAGCAATCACTGGTAGTTGGAAAATTTGGCTTGGGTGACAGAAATAACGCTGGAGATCACGAGCTAGAATTTTGCAATACCAATGACTTAATGCAAATACCTTTTTTTTTTTTTCCAGCAGCACAAATGGTGGCTATACATGTGAACTTCACCAGATGGACTATACAGGAATCAGATTGACTACATCTGTGGCAGGAGGTGATGGAAAAGCTCAGTATCTTCAGCCAAAACAAGGTCAGGAGCTAATTGTGGAACAGACCATCAACTACTCACATGCAAGGTCAACTTGAAGTTGAAGACGATTAAAACAAGTCCACAAGAGCCAAAATAGGACCTGGAATATATCCCTCCTGAATTTAGAGACCATCTAAAGGATAGATTTGATGCATTGAATACCAGTGATCAAAAACCAGGAAAATTGTGGGATGACATCAAGAAAGCAAAAGGTCATTTAAAAGGAAATGAAGAAAAGACCAAAATGGATGTCAGAAGAGACTCACTCTGAAACTTGGCTTTTAATAGAGAGCAGCTAAAGAAAATGGAAGAAATGACAAGATAAAAGAACTGAGCAGAAGAATTTAAAGAGCAACTCGAACAGACAAAGCCAATTACTATAATGAAATGTGCAAAGACCTGGAGTTAGAAAACCAAAAGGGAAGAATACGCTCAACATTTCTCAAGCTGAAAGAACTGAGGAAAATATTTAAGCCTCAAGTTGTGATACTGAAAGACTCTATGGGCAAAATATTAAATGAGGCAGGAAACATCAAAAGAAGATGAAAGGAATACACAGAGTCACTGTACCAAAAAGATCTGGTCGATCTTCATCTGTTTCAGGTGGTGGCATATGATCAAGAACTAATAGTATTGAAGGAAGAAGCTGCACTGAAGGAACTGGTGAAGAACAAGGCACCAAGAATTGACAGAATACCCACTGAGATGTTTCAACAAATGGATGCTCCACTGGAGGCCCTTACTCGGTTATGCCAATGGATTTGGAAGACAGCTACCTGGGCAACTGACTGGAAGAGATCCATATTTGTACCTATTCCAAAGAAAGGTGATCACACAGAATATGGAAATTATTGAACAGTATCACTAATACCACATGCAAGTAAAATCTTACTGAAGATAATTCAAAAACAGTTGCAGCAGTATATTGACGGAGAACTTCCAGAAATGCAACTGGATTCAGAAGAGGACATGGAACGAGGGATATCATGGCTGTTGTCAGATGGATCTTGGCTCAAAGCAAAGGATATCAGAAAGATGTTTACTTGTGTTTTATTGATTATGCAAAAACATTTGATTGTGTGGATCATAACAAATTACAGGTAACATTGAGAAGAATGGGAGCTCCCGAACACTTGATTGTGCTCATGAGGAACCTGTACTTGGACCAGGAGGCTGTCGTTCACGCAGAACAAGGGGGCAATGCATGGTTTAAAATCCAGAAGGGAGCTGTATCCTTGTCAGGGTTGTATCCTTTCACCATACTTACTCAGTCTGTATGCTGAGCAAATAATCTAAGAAGCTGGCATCAGGATTGGAGGAATAATCATTAATAGCCCGGAGTACGCTGACGACACCACTTTGCTTGCTGAAAGTGAGGATGACTTGAAGCACTTACTGACGAAGATTCAAGAATACAGTCTGCAGTATGGATTACATCTCAATATAAAGAAAACAAAAATCCTCACAACTGGACCTATAAGCAGCATCACGGTAAATGGAGAAAAGATTGAAGTTGTCAAAGAGTTCATATTGCTTGGTTCTGCAATTGATGCCAGGGGAAGCAGCAGTCAGGACATCAGACGATGTATAGCATTGGGCATATCGGCTGCAAGAGATCTCTTTCAAGTGCTGAAGAGCAAAGATGTCTCCTTGAGGACTAAGGTGTGCCTGACATAAGGCGATGATATTTTCAGTCACCTCATATGCATGTGAGAGCTGGACAGTGACTAAGGAAGACAGAAGAAAAGTTGATGCTTTTGAGTTGTGGTGCTGGCGAAGAATGCTGAAAGTACCGTGGACTGCTAAAAGATCTAACAAATCTGTCCTGGAGGAAGTGCAGCCAGAATGCTCCTTGGAAGCGAGAATGGCCAGACTTGGTCTCAACCTACTTTGGTCATGTTGTCAGAAGGAACCATTCCCTGGAGAAGGATATCATGCTTGGTAAGGTGGAGGGTCAACAAAAGAGGGGAAGGCCCTCAATGAGATGAACTGACACAGTAGCTGCAGCGATGGGCTTAAGTATAGCAAGCATCATGGAGCTGATGTGGGACCAGGCAAAGTTTCATTCTGCTGGGCATAGGGTTGCTGTGAGTCAGAGACGACTCGATGACACCTAACAACAACAACATGTGTAGTACAATGTTTATATATATAAATAAGGGGTTCAGAGGTGAGCTATCCAAATACTGGGGGGTTAGAACAGTGTATTACTTAAATTGGGGGGTGGGAGGTAAGGACTATTCATCTTGGAAAGATGTAATCTTTTTAAGAATCTGAAAGATAAGTCTGACAGCATTCCCCAGTGAAGCAATTTGGGCCTTCTCTTTGTTGGGAGGTTTCTGATTACTGATTCAGTCTCTTTAATTGTTATGAGTCTGTTGAGATTTTCTACTTTCTCTTGAGTCAGTTTGGGTAGGCTATGTGCTTCTAAGAATTTGTCCATTTCATTCAAGTTATCAAGTTTATTGGAATACAGTTCTCTGTAATATTTTGTTATGATCCTTTTTAGTTCTATTAGGTTATTTGTAATGTCTCAGCTTTTTTTTTTTTTTAAACTTCCTACTTTGGTTATTTGCATCTTCTCTCTCTCTTTTTTATTTCTTAGTCTGGCTTTTAAAAGTTTGGCAAATTTCTGAAAGGTGAATCTAACGCATAATTATATAGAAGCCTGTGCCCAAATGGTTCATTTCCACTTAGGCTAGAGCTAAATTGGACTTCATTGCATCAGTGTTACTTTGCATTTTTGTCACTCTACAGTTTGTGAAGAGCTTCTACAGGAATGTTCTCATTTGATCCCATAAGACATCAGTAAGAAAGGTAATTAGTGTTCTGATTTATAGATGAGGAGACAGGCTCTGAGAGGTTGAAGGGACTAAAAACTGAGTAGGACTGACTGTTGTAGCCTCTGATAGCTGATGTAGTATGTTTTCCCCTGAACTTCACATAGCAGGGAGGATGTGGGTTAAAGCAGGCATTTCCTAGCAGGAAGGTTGTTGATGGATTTGGATTACTGAGGGAAGTTGTAGAGCCTTGTTCATGGGAGGGACCTGGAAGATGGACTTCCTCTTTTCTGGAATGGTCTAGGTGCTTGAAGGCTAGAGTGGCCCAAATGGCTTGTGCAGGCTCTGCCTTGGCCTGTGGTTCATTGAGTGCCAGGGTGTTAGGGTATTTCCTTATGTAGGAGGATTCTGGCTAATGAACAGTGAGACCAAGGTTTCTGTTTCTGATCTCTTTACTAGCTCTTTCACTCTAAAATGGTGAGGCTAGTACTACCCATTTCCCTGCTTTCTGGACTTGCTGTGTGATAAATGGGGGCACTTGAAATCTTCAGAGTTTGATAAAATGTTGTGGACCATTTTCAGAAGAGTGCTTAGCCCTGGGTCATCAGTGAAACGTGCCCTCGTGATTGTGGGATGAGCTTATCGAGGCATAGAATAGTCTCCTTTGGTTTACGTCAGGGAAAAGCAGGTTGTCAGGAAGAATAAACAGCCCTGCTGTGGTCTCTTACATTTTGAGGACACCTAAGAAGGAGTTCTGGTGGTGTAGTGCCTAAGGCGTTTGACTGCTAACTAGAAGATTGGTGATTCAAACCCACCAGCACTCCATGGAAGGAAGACTGGACGGTCTACTTCTGTAAAGATTTACCCCGCTGGAAACCCAAAGGGGATTGCTATGAGTCAGAATTGACTCAATGACAGTGAGTTTGCTTTTTTTTTTTTTTTTAAATGAATTAAGGGGTCTCATACCTAGTGCTGTGGGAAGTGATGTGCAGGCAACTTCAAGGCAGAGTAGGCAAGTGGAAAGAGCCCTGGATTTGGAGGGGGGGGGACTAACTAGATCATGTTCAAGCACTGGCACCAACTGCCTTTGTCACCACAAACAAATCATTTAAGCTCTCAGCTTTAGTTTCCTTATGTATAAAAATAAGGCAAGTGACATGGTTCATATCTGTGGTTCTTTGCAGCTTTGCAGACAACTGATCTTCCAGTACCTTAAGAATCTATGTATGTCAGACAAATACTTTGACCTGGCAATATTTTATTCAGGAATTTAAGCTAAGGAGGCAGTCATTGATTGTGTGTGTGTGTGTGTGTGTGCGTGCGCGCTAAGGTTTAGCTCAAAGGATATTCACTGCAGGCAGAGCAGTTTTAGTACCAAAACATTGGATGCAAGTTTAAGGTACAATAGTAAGAGATTGGTTAAATAAGCAGTGATGCATCCACCTAAGAAAATACTGTGTGGCTTTTAAAAGTGTTTTTATAGAATAATATTTAATGATGTAGTAAAACTTGCACAATATATTAAATGAAAGCTCAGTTTACCAATGATCCCATTTTTGTAGAAATATCAGCGTATAGTAATAACATATATAGAAGACAGGATGGAACACCGTACAGCAAAAGATTAACATATCTCTGGGAGGTAGTTAATGAGTGATTTTTTTCTTTTAATGTAACTGATGCTTACTGGCTCCTGCTATTTGTAAGGCACCATACTGAATGCTGAAGGATGTCCCTGCTTGCAGATTCCTCCAGGTAATGGGTACTCTGTTCTCTTTGCCTTCCTAGGAAAGGCAGCAGGATGGCCAGTGTGCTTTCCCGGCGCCTTGGTAAGCGATCCCTCCTGGGAGCCCGGGTGTTGGGACCTACTGCTTCAGATGGGCCATCAGGGACCATCCAGCCCTTGGAACCTCAAGTGGAGCTGCTGGAGAGGGCAGCTCAACAGCCCTTCCTCGCTTATAAGGACAGTTCCTTCCAGGAGCAACCCAAGGAAATCCTCAAGATTCCTAGTATCTCAGGCCTCCAGCAGGTGGCTTTTCAGCCTGGGCAGAAGGTAGGTTGGTACCCAGTGTGTACTGGTGTCTGCTTTACCCAGGCTGGGGCTGAAAGGCCTCGATTGCCCCCATGGCAGGTGGGAAACTCTTTGGGCTCCATTTTGAACACAGACCTTTTCCTTCCAGCCATGTGGCACTTGGGCAGGTGGGCTTCCCAAGAGAAGGTGCCATCATTAGCAGGCTCAGAGCTCCTCAAGGCTCCCTTCATGACAGTGTTATTTTGAGAGAAAGCTGGCAAGACCTGACATCTACAGTTCTGGGCTTTAGCCTACTCAAAATCTCAGTTTGAAGCATGGCCATAGGTCCGTTTCTCTTATTCTACTTCAGTTTGCCATTTTCCAAAACAAGGGAAGTAATCTCAGACTTAGATAGCTAAGATTACATTTTTGAATTACCTTTAGATATTTTGAAGAGATGAAAATGTTTCTTTATTCAGAATTCAATTAGGATTTCCTTTTTCCTCCCCTTCTGGCAGGCCCAGTCATCATCATCTACCCCGATATTAGATCGTGTGGTTCTCCTTCATTGCCATCTCAAGGGTTCCTCAAGAGATACTCTACTTTCTATCTCCCCTCCCTGAGGCTTGTGTCCTCCAGACCTCTCTTCCCACAATGCAGGGTGTCTTGCCAATGTCCAGGTGCCCTTTGAGAGAGGTCAGCGTACCTCATCACCTTCTACCCACTTGTCCCAGGTGGACTCAGTATTCTCTGAAGGGAGAAGTATAGGGTATGAGCAATTCACGGCAGCAACTGGGAACCAGCAGATATTCAGGGACAAGGCAAGGCAGGGCACGAAATCAGGAGGAATGGACAAAGATTTCAAATGTGAATAAAATCCCTAGAAGCTGTTCACTGACTCCTGTCTAGAGAGTTTGTAAGGACCTGTTTTGGGAAGAATTGATCAGTTTGGCTAGCGTGGGTGCTCAGATGGGAAGCAGGTGCTTGGAAGCATCTAGCTGAATTAAAGATGAGTGAGGCAGAGAGGCGGCTTGTGGTAGACAGATTCTGACTCCTGGAGGTTGGGTGCCATGGGAATCCTTTAGGGGTAAGAACTACCAAGTGCTGACCACTGTTGCTGTTTTTCTTCCTCCCAGGTTTATGTGTGGTATGGGGGTCAAGAGTGTCTAGGACTGGTGGAGCAGCACAGCTGGGCAGAGGATAAGGTGACCGTCTGGTTGTTGGACCAGAAATTACAAATCTGCTGCAGAGTGGAGGAGGTGTGGCTCGCAGAGCTGCAGGGCTCTGTTCCCCAGGCACTGCCCACAGAGCAGGGAGCCCAGGCACTGGCCTACAGACCCGTCTCCAGGAACATTGACGTCCCAAAAAGGTTCGTGTGAGAAGAAGCTGATGTGAGGTGTTAGGTTGTGGGCTATCTCGTGAGGGAGGGCTGGAATGTGGGAGTCATAGGTTATCTAGTGAAAATCTGGAACAAATGGGATACAGAGAAAGGGTTAAATCCTTTAAAAATCCAGAATGACTGTAACCATCCAGAATGATATTTCTGGTTTGGTCAGGGGCTATTCTTTACCCTGTTCATGCTTATACTACATCCAGATCTTAGTTTTCCATGAGAAGAGGCAGAGAAGGAAACTTTCTGAATGGGCCAGGTAATAAATATTTTAGGCATCAAGAACCATACAGTCTGTTGGAACTACTCAACTCTGTCATACAAAAGCCATCAAAGATAGTACAAAAACAAATGGGTGTGGTCATGTTCCAATAAAATTTTATATTTATGGACACTCACATTTGAATTTCATAGAATTACCATGTGTCATATGGCAAGAAATGGCATTACTCTTCTGATTTTTAAGAACCAGTTTGAAATGAGAAAACCACTCTTGGTTCGCAGGCTGTACAAAAATAGGGAGCAGGCCAGATTGGGCCCACAGCCCATAGTTTGCTGACCCCTGGCTTATATACTCAAAACCACAGATGATGAATGAAGAATGTATATTTTGCTTAAGAATTTTATGATATAACATTTCCCTGAGGACATACATCCTAACTTTTCTATTCTTTACCCTAAACACATTGGCCTTTTTAAGATTTAAGAAGAACATCTCCTATCAATTCGGATTGTCTGATATACATGACAACAACAACAATATACAAGATGTGCAACAGTTAAGCCTGTTCCACCTCACTCTCTGATATGGTCCCTAATGTTGTTTGTGGTTGTTCCTGTCAGTGAGAGTAGAACCAGTGGTTTGGGACCAAAGTAACAACATTTGTGATTGTGTATTCAGTGGGTACTGGCAAATAATTTTTCTTTCTATTTGATGAAAATGACAATATAAAGTTCATACAAAAAAGAGGATGTTAATATGTTTTGTGGGAGCTCTGGTGGTGTAGTGCCTAAGGTACTTGACTGCTAACCAGAAGGCTGGCGGTTCAAACCCACTAGCCACTCCTTGGAAGGAAGGTCAGGCAATCTACTTCTGTAGTGATACTGCCTCGGAAACCTAAGGAGGGGTTGCTATGAGTCAGAGATGACTCGACGGCACATAACAACAGCAACTTCCATAGTGATACCACCTCGGAAACCCAAGGAGGGGTCGCTGTGAGTTGGAGATGACTTGACGGCACGTAACAACAACAAATGTCCGTCGAGTCGGACCCGACTCATAGCGGCCCCTCTTTGGGTTTCCAAGGCAGTATCGCTATGGAAGTAGATTGCCCAACCTTCCTTCCGAGGAGTGGCTGGTGGGTTTGAACTGCCAGCCTTCTGGTTAGCAGTCAAGTGCCTTAGGCACTACACCACCAGAGCTCCATGTTTTGTTAGTACTCTTGATTTAGCTGCTTCACACTCAGTCACATACGTTACTGGACCTGAATTATAAAAGAATTACTTAATACAGTTTTTTTAATTGGACGAGCCACATAGATGTTCATTTTAGACTAAGTTTTCATAACACTATAGCATTAGCTTAGCAATGGCTCTAATTTTACTTCCAAATAGTATAACTATATTGATTTGAAAATTTACATATAAAGTATAGAATTCTGCTGTATAAAGTATTAGAATTTACATTGGGAGATTTATGTTAGTATATTTGTGTGTTGGCTTATGGTAATAGGTTCTGTTGACATTCAGAAGCTCTTGGAATGTTTCTGCAGGGAGAGCTTGGTTAGTATAATTGTTCCCTATTGAATTTAAATACAAGATGGAAAAAGAGAGATAATTTTAAATTCTAGTGGGTGTCTTTTATCCCAGTGCTTTATTTCATTGTTTTGACTCTTCTCTCTTTCCTTGAAATAAAATTCTCCACTTTAAGCTACAGAATTAGGAAGATAAGTCAGGGGAGAATGGAGCTGCCTCAGGGTGTCAGCAGTGGGATGGGGACTGACCTACTTACACTGGGGTTGATTACCATAATGCACATCATTTGGGATGAATGTTTTTCATGAAATATTAGGGATGATTGGAATAGGGGTTCGGAGGGGACAGTTTAGAAGTCTAAAATTATCATGTGAGAATAACCAGAAGCAGCGTCTAGTTCTACAATGGTCATGAATTAGCTGTTTCAGGAAGTAACCTTTCACACTCTTCCATTTGAATCCAGGAAGTCAGATGCAGTGGAAATGGATGAGATGATGGCAGCCATGGTACTGACATCCCTGTCCTGCAGCCCAATTGTGCAGAGTCCTCCTGGGGCCGAGGCCAACTTTTCTGGTGAGAAAGTGGGGCCTCAGTGGGTTCTGGGTGTGGCAGATGCCCAGGACTGACTTGTTCTGCATATGGCAGCTAATTGTGGAAATCACCAGCCTGGCAATAGGAGTCTCTCACTTCCACCTCAAACTTGCTGAATGACATTTAGTTAGATGCTTCCATTCTTTTTCCTCAGTTTCCTCATGTGGGGAGAAGTTTCCTGGTGCATTGTGAAGATGATTGAGCACAGGACTGAGCCTCACTGGCCACTTGAGTAAGTTCTTCTATGGGAGTAAGTGAATGAGGCACGTTGGTGGGGGACCTGAACAAGGCCAGTAGAGGAATATTTAGTTCACAAACATTGGAAATATACTAAATGGTCCCCTAGTGGCCTCAGAAAATTCATGCCCCATTCCAAGTGCCTGATTCAGCCTTGTAAATTAATGAGGGCCTACAGGCCAAGGAAGGTGCCCTGGTGGCTCAATGGTTAAATATTTGGCCACTAACCAAAAAGTTGGTGGTTCAAATCCTCCAGTGGCTCCATGGGAGAGAAGACCTGGTGATCTGCTCCCATAAAGATTATAGCCTAGGAAAACTGATAGGCAGTTTTACTTTATATGAAAATATAAAGATCATACAAAAAGCCTGTTACAGGGTTGCTGTGAATCAGAATTGACTTGGTGATGCAACAACAAAACAGACCAAGGACCTGAAATAAATTAGCTTCAGTGTAAAATAAATCTGATTGCTTAATAAAAACTAGTAGTATTACTTCAAAACAAATTTGTAAAGTAAAACAAAATTCTTCTAGTTTGACTTCAAAATACATTATCAGTAATACTGAAGGAAGGGTTTGCTAGATATTAGAAGTTTGACAGGACTGGTAGTACACCTGAAGTTTTTTTAATTTCATTATAGAGCTGGCCTAACTTACTCCCAAGGAATAACTTTTTCATTAGTGAGATCTGACTGAATTGCAAGTTACTTAGGAGCTTGTAGGAACATACGAGGTTAGCTTTAGGCACGTGCCAGGAGGAAAGAGTGGCCTTTATAATTATCCCTCATAAGTAGTCTCCCTACATAGAAGTAAGTTTAAAGGCACGATAAATCACTTCTTTATTGTTTCACCCAAGGACTAAGCTGCTAGAGTAAGTTGGTTTCACTATGGTGGGATCTAGTTGTGAAGTGTGGTGTTGTGTGCTTGCTCTCTTAACACTTGGAATTATATAAGCAAAAAGGAGAGGAAAAGAATCAACTTCAGGCTCTCAGGAAATTCTGTGAACTTAAGAGAGCTGCAGAGATTAGTCCACAGGGTGAGGATCTAGGAGAGTGTCGTAAAGGGAAGGGAAGGAAAATCATTGACTTCAATTCCCAGCAGAAGTGTGTGTTGTGTGTAAGTATGTATTACATAGGTATGCACACAGGCACATGTTCCAATATACACACATTTCACTGATAATATGACATAATCCTGATAAGTTGCTTCTTGACAAAAAGTTTTTAATTGACTTCTAAAGATTTTTTTCCATTACAATATATTTCTGATTTTATTGCTGAAGTCAGTGGAAAATTAAGGCTTCCTTGTGCTCATTTCAGCAGCACATATACGAAAAATTGAAATGAGTTTCTGTTAATGGTGATGGAATAATTTGGAAAAGGATAGTGGTGATGGTTGTACAACACAATGGGTGTAATCAATGTCACTAAATTATACATGTAAAAATTGTTGAATGGGGAAATGTTTTGTTGTTTACATCTTTACCACACAATAGGCTTCCTTGGCAGCTAATTATAATTATATATATAAATAGCTAATGATAGAAATACTCTACGTGTGATGGATATACAACAACAAACATGTTGCTCTGAACGTGGATATTGCACGTGAGCCACCTATTCCCGTTGGTCTCTGTATTACTTGGATGGCTGTGTGTGTGTGTAGAGAAGGTAAGAGCACAGGAAATTATACATATTTCTTAAAAGTTCACAGTAAACGCTCAGTGTTCAGATTTTCAGTGGAGCAATTTATTTTCATGGTATTGAATATTAACCTATTGGCCTTGCCCTCTAGGAAAACTTACTGTCTCATAAGTAGAGTGACTTATGAGTAACTTATCTTTATCATATAATTGGTAGAGTTGTTGTTGTTATGTGCCGTCAAGTCAGACATGACTCATAATTTATAGATTAACATATGATGTTAACGTTTTGCTTTGTTTTCCATTTTTCTTAGTTTGTGTGCCAGTTTTCAAGTCTGAGCCATTTGAGCCCTGTTCCTTTGAAGGGAATGCCTGCTGTTTTTGTAGGGTTTGCCTCTGCCTGACCTGCCCCTTATCCCTACAGTCCTGATCACTCCAGATGTAGTTTTCCCCTGCCTAGCACTTCACCCCTGCTAAGTTTCCTGAATGGATGTGTGTGGCTTGACCTGTTAACCTACTGGCCTGTCAACTGGTCTCTGTGTCCTCTGGTTTAACCCTCCTGTGTAGATGTAATAGTAATCTGTGGCTTTCCAGAAAGGGAAAGCCACAGCTTAGAGACTTGACAGTGATATTTAGGAAGGGAAGATTTACATGCATCCCATCCCATTCTGTTTGGGTGGATAAGAAATTTAAGGAGACCCTGGCTTGAAAACATGGACAGCTGGCAGTCTGTTCTAGGTGACTAGGTCAGCGTATAAGCAGTTTGTAATATTGAGCAGGATGAGAGAATAGCAGGGGGATTTTATCATTGCTGTAAAGGGTGTGGTGTGCAATTTTGACAGTCAGAATAAGGAGGCTCTTTAGAATGCCTGTAGTAGGAGTTGGGGTTTTGGGGGACATGAGGCATAGTGCCTTCATGCTTCACAGTTTTTCCCCTATCCTGCTACTTCTGTGTATCAACATTTCAGATTCTCCTATAATATAAATTAATCAAGATTTATGGCCTAGGAATGAAAGAGTCTGTGTTGGGCCTAAAGCAACCTGAAGACAGGCAATTTAAAAACTGAGAACTTAACACACCTCACTCCACCTCCTCCCTATTTACTGCTGGGAGCAAGGCAGTCCGTTCAGGGCCACATCAGGCATAAGATCCTCCAATCATTTTACGATTAGTCTGAATTACTCTCAGAGGTTGTCTTCTCCAAATGTGTCCTTCTGAATAAAAATAGGAACAACCTGGGCTGCAGCTAGCGCTGGGAAATGCTATGCCCTCCTGATCGTTGAAAGAGCCCAGTGGTTTCTTTCCACTCACAGGTTTTAGTGTTCTTGCTGAGGTTTAAATTATTGAAAGGCATTTTTCAAGAAAAGCTAGTCAAGATGCTTTAACTTAGCCTTTCCATTCTGAATAGGATGAGTAGCTGTAAGGAAAGCTTTCCAAGTGGTATTTGACACACTGTGTGTGTGTGTGTGTGTGTGTGTTCGTTCTCACTCACCGTTGGAGCCCTAGAAGGCAGGAAAACTTTTTTTCTCCTTCCCACTCTCTGTTTTTACTGAAGCTCACAGAGGGGAGGTTATTTTCTTCACTACTCCCGGAGTGGCAGCCTTCGGCAAAGCCAGAGCCAGGAGTCGGCCTCCAGAGCCCAAGCTCACAGACCAGAATGCATGATCTCCCTACTTGGGCTGTCAGTGTGGAATCTGGCATAGACAGGGCTGTGCCAGAGGCCTGCTGAGATACAAGCCCATGGGCATCTTCTTGTCTTCTCTCCCACCAGCTTCCCGCGTAGCCTGTGACCTGTGGAAGGAGAGCGGTGATGTGTCTGACAGTGGGAGCAGCACAACCAGTGGGCACTGGAGTGGGAGCAGTGGCATTTCCACCCCCTCACCCCCCCACCCCCAGGCCAGCCCCAAGTATTTGGGGGATGCCTTTGGTTCCCCTCAAACCGATAATGGATTTGAAACAGATCCTGACCCTTTCCTGTTGGATGAACCAGCTCCACGCAAAAGAAAGGTACATGGTATAGTGGGAGTGTGAGTATGAGCTGGGGCTGGTGGAGTTAATGTTTAGGCAGCAGCTGGGAGCAGGGACAGATGTTCCCAAACCTGTCATTGAGTTGATCCTGACTCATAGCAACCCCCATTGGGTTTCCAATGCTGTAAATGTTTATGGAAACAGATTGCCGTGTCTTCCTTCAACAGAGCAGCTGGTGGAGTTGAACCTCTGATCTTCTGGTTAGCAGCCCACTATGCCACCAGAGTTCCTTTAGATATTCCCAGGTTCCACCTAATTTTGTTTTCTTCTGCTGCTTCTGTTACTTCATGATATTCCCAGGAGCCTACTCCTTTTCATGAATGTAGTTCTGTTTTGTTTTGAACCTCTACCCCAGTCCCTGCCATCTTTCCTGCATTGGTGCAGAGGCTTATGCATGAGAAGTCTGTTGAGGTCGTTTTCATGGCAGCAAACCCTGCTGTTTGCCATTAGGACCATTTCTTGGGTCCAGAGTCTCTGGTTCCTGGTTGTCAATTCCTTTGGTTCCAGAACTCCTTCCTTAAAAGGGAGTTCCTCTTTTGTTGGGTTCTTCCAGAAGGCAGAGGGTAGTAGCCAACTGAAGGTGAAGTCTCCACTGGATTAGGATGAGAGAGAGATGAGGGAGAAGAACATATCCTAATCACCTAGTCTGCCTTTTCTCCTAGAACTCTCTGAAGGTGATGTACAAGTGCCTGTGGCCAAACTGTGGCAAAGTTCTACGCTCAATTGTGGGCATCAAACGACATGTCAAAGCCCTCCATCTGGGGTAGGTATGGAGCCCCCCATCTTTGCCTGTGGTACCATTCAGGAGTTCCTCCACCCTGCTAATTTCTTGTGACCCATAGCCCAGAATGCTTTCCAGAAAAGCATTTGCTTAGAATGCCACATTTCTCCCTTCCTCTCTCTGTCAGGGGTTTATCCCTGTCCCTGTGCCTGGCAGTATAGCCTGTTGAAAAGATATCTTAGCTAGGAAGGAAGGACCTTCCTATCACCTCAGATGATGACACTGAATTTGCTGTTGATGGGAAGGGAGCTCTGTTCATCTTAGGGATGAGTCTTCTTGCCTCACTATAGGAAGCAAGATACCTGGTTTCAGTTTAGAAGTAGAAGTAGGGTACTTTGGTTCAGTTACTCGTGATACCCTGTTACAGTAAGTATAGAGGCCACATTCTGGGAAGTGGGGAGCCAGAGCTGTATTAGCATTGGCCTTCTGGACCAAGGGTCTTATTTCTATGCAGAGCTGGGGCTGAGCCTCATGGCTGTTCATAACAGAGGAACTGACTCATAGCCCTTGAGGAAAGAGTTTGACCACAAGTAGGTGGAGCCCAGGGAGGACTTGTGGCCTAGCTCAGAGTTGATGACTCCTGTGGGAGGAGAGGTTTCCACATGTTCTGTGAGAACAGAAGCTTTAGGTGCTAGGAAAAACAATTGCCCTTGCCTAATCCCCTGGTGATACCACATCAGGAGACGGGTTCCTGGGTGTTCTCTTGGGCGCCTTCCCAGACTTGCTGGTGGCTCTGAACACCTTGGGTTCACCTGTTTTTGAACTGAGTCAACTTGCATCTAATCATGGCCATATCTCCTTCCAAACAGGGATACTGTGGACTCTGACCAGTTCAAGCGGGAGGAGGATTTCTACTACACAGAGGTGCAGATGAAGGAAGAATCTGCTGCTGCTGCTGCTGCTGCTGCTGCTGCTGCCAGCACCCCTGCCCCTGGGACCCCCACAGCTGAACCAGCTCCCATCCCGAGTGTGACCAGCACACCTCTTGCCATTCTTCCGCCACCTCCTCCCAAAACCCAGTCCTCAGGCCCAGAACACCCTGGCTTAGAGTCTTACCTGCCCTCTGATGCTCTCAGCAAGTCAGCTCCTGGTTCCTTCTGGCACATTCAGGCTGACCATGCATACCAGGTACAGGACTAGAGCACTCTGGGAGCTGTGAAGGCATTCAGTGTCTGACTTGGGACTGGCCAGCCTTATCAGAGACCACTGACAATGCTAGCTGAAAGCTGAACCCTTCAGCCCAGATTGCTTATCTTTTACTTATACAAAGAAGGAAAAGGAAGATCATTGCATGTTCAGATAATGGAAATTCCAGAGTTTTAAATTGGTAGCTGTCTCAGAAAGACAAGGACCTTCCTCTGGAATCAACAGAGAGAAAGCCCTACCTCTAGAGCTGGCACCCTCGATTTGAACTTTTAGCTTGCTAAACATTGAGAAGGAGCTCTGGTAGCATAGTACTTAAGGCACTTGACTGCGAACCAGAAGGCTGGTGGTTCAAACCCACCAGCCATTGCTCGGAAGGAAGGTTGGGCAATCTACTTCCGCAGTGATTCTGCCTTGGAAACCCAAGGAGGGATCTCTGTGAGTCAGGTCTGACTGCACAGCACATAACAGCAAACATTGAGAAAATAAATTTGTTTTTTAAGCTAAAAAAAAAAAGTACCTGTCACAAGTGGTGACAAAACATCTAGCTGAATCCCTTAGTAACCAGGTTAATTTATTTGGGCTGGAGAATTATTACATCACTGTTTGTGAAAAGGGATGGAATAGTGGAGTAGGGTTCCCAGAACAAATCTCTAGTTCCTGGTATTGTGTTACATTAACAATGCAGCAGGCATTTTTTTGAATATCTACACTGTCTCAGGGATTGGTCTAAGCTTTCCAGATATTAAAATGAGACATCATTCCTGCCCTTCTAAGTGTGTGTGGTTTAGCTGGGGAGAGAAATGAATATATAACTCTGATTAATTATAATAAATAAAATAATTAAATATAATAGAATCCTCAAATTGTAATAAACAGTCCAAAGTTCCTTTACTGGAGGTGCAAGCAAAGTGTGGGTCCAGGAAGCAACAAACCTTCCTGGTTCCAAGCCTGTGTGGTTGGAAAGTGGTTATGAGGAGGTAACGCTTATGGTGGTCTTCACTGTACACTGTAGGTGCTCAGTGTGCAACTGCTATGTGCCAGTTTTTCTTCAAATCTTTATCAGACCCTGGGCTGATCTGCAAGTTAGTCATTAAAAAGCTATGCTTTCAGTAACAAAGCTTTTTAAAAATCCTGATAAGGATGAGTTGCTACTTAGCTTTTTCAGGTTTGTCTAACTTCAGGTGGCCCCTCCGGCAGCTGTGGCTGACACTGAGAGTGTAGCTAATGTTTTTACAAACAGACCTAAACGTGTGCATCCATGTGAGTCTTGTCTATTTCCAAGAAGTTGACTGGGGATGCCGTACACTTATTCCAGCAGTGCCACCCATGCTTAAAAGGCTCTTAGACTTTTGGAACTGCCTATAGCATGCATGTTCTTGGTAGGTGATCAAACTGAGCTTTTAATCCTTGTGATGATTAAGTCATGAGGCTGGCATGTCAGCCAACTCTGAGAGCAATTACTAAAAATTCCAGAAGATTGGAGCTTTGGGGTAAGGAGATGACATCAAGCATTTGGAAACTCTGGTATTTCTCTTGGGAAGATACATCTCTTATATCCCAGTATTTCTGGTCACCTCACAGACACAAAGATGTACCTCCTACAGAAGGTGAAGCGCAGGGATGATTACTAGACTTCAAAAGCTTTCTGAGATGGAACCTTGACTGACACTCTCTTGTCTCTACAGGCTCTGCCATCCTTTCAGATCCCTGTGTCTCCACATATCTACACCAGTATTAGCTGGGCTGCTGCCCCCTCCAGTGCCTCCTCCCTCTCTCCGGTGAGTGACCCTCAGCACTTCCTGGAGCTCTGGTATAAGCCTAGGGCTCTTTCACACCTAGTGCTGGAGGCCTCTAGCCCCTAAACTTCTCAAAGATCTTAATCCACTCTCCCGCTTCCATAGCCATCCCCAGCTGGTCATAGGCTCCCTTAGAAAGTGGAAGAAGGGTGCTTATAGTATGGAAATGAAGCAGGTTTATTGCTAAAAATAAATAAACAAATAAATAAATCCCCAAGCCCATTGTCTGTGGGTGCCAATTATTATTTTTGTTTAGAGAGGAGGGGAGAGAATTCTCTATAGGATAGTCAGAAAAGAAGTAGAAGAAGGTGGGAAGAAATGAAGAAGATAGATATGCAGAATGGGTCAGAAATCTTCATGGCCACATGGACCAATCCCTTAGCTGCTTGTCCTTAAACTGAATAAACTACAAGTCATTTTTAACGGCACATAGTGACTTCTAGTCTAAATATCTACAGGAAGATTATCGCACATTGCAAAACATAAGTGCTAGAAGGTGCCATTGAACCAGTGGAATCCGTCCCCTTTGTTTTATAGATGGTTTAACTGTCTAAATCTCCTGTAAGAAGCAGCCCACTGAATGGCCCACAAGTGGCTGCCCTTGGTCTCTGCCCTTGGGCCCACTCAGTCTTTAGCCTTAAAGGCTTGCATCTCACTCTTCAACCTCACCTCCATTCCCTGGCCCCTGTTACAGAGCAGTCACCTCTACCTGGAATACCCTTTCTGAGAAGGCATCATTGCCTGCATATCAGTGCATGACCTAGGGACCAGTGCTTAAAGGGGCTCCATCAGTGTTGCTGATTAGGCTGTAGGAGTGCTTCTCTCATGTCTCTTGACTACTTTCATGCTCGTTGCCTGAACTTTATGGCCCCTCTCCCTGTGCCTAGGTCCGGAGCCGGTCGCTAAGCTTCAGCGAGCCCCAGCATCCACCACCAGCAGTGAAATCTCACCTGCTTATCACTTCTCCACCACGGGCTCAGAGCAGCACCAGGTGAGATGTCTGACATCTTGCCTTCCTTTCTGGTTTCTGTCCCCACCATCTCCACTGGCAGTGGGCACTCTTGAGTCCTCCAGACCATCATCACTAGAGTTAGTACAGAGAGGACAGTCCAGATGGAGAACATACTGGACGGCTTTCTGTGCCTCTGGCCTCCTGCCCTCTGGTCCTGTTGGCTTCAGTTCTGAGCCACCCATTCCAGTCTCCGAGTGTTTGCTTAGCCTCAATTGGCTGCTCTCCAGGTCTAACCACCAGTGTGTGACTCCATGTTCTCATTACTCTGTCTTGGCAGGAAAGCCCGTGGGGAAGCTAAGAAGTGCCGCAAGGTGTACGGCATCGAGCATCGAGACCAGTGGTGCACAGCCTGCCGGTGGAAGAAGGCCTGCCAGCGATTCCTGGATTGAACCTGTCCAACCGGCTTATCCTCTTTTCTTTCTGGCCCTGACCTGCAGCCGGATGACAGAAAGACACATGTGTCACAAGAAGCCCTCAGCAGAAACCTGAAAGATAAAAGTGAAAATGTGGAGTTTGGGCTCAATTGGCCAAGGTTTAACACTTAAAACATTTTTTTTCCCCATGTGGGAACATTTTACTTTTTAAAAAAGAAACAAAATATTTGTTTCCCCTAAAAGAGAAGAGCCAAAACTTACCAAGGGTATTCTACAGTGAACCAGAGACCAAAGAATTAATTACCCTCCCTTTCCCACACCTTGTTGCTCTAGGGTATTAGTTTGTACGTATCAAAAGAAGGATCAGCTCATTCTGTTTCTTGCTGAGTTGGTGAATTTTTTGTTTTTCAACTCATCCAAAAGGGACTGTGAGCAAGGTGAATTTACTTTCCTTTAAAAAAAAAAGTTTCTAGCTGTTCACTCAAGAGAGCAGGACCCATCACAGATGGGGGTGGGAAGAGTGAGTATCTGCACTTTTCCAAGGTGCCATTTCCTCTTCTCTGTCTGAATCTGGAGAAAGGAGCTCTTGTCCTTCTCACCAAGCTGCTTCTGTGGAAGTATAAAGGGAAACCCTTTCTTGGTGGCAACTGTTTGAATCTGGGTTCCCTCAGATGTTGGGCTTCCTCCCAACAAATATTATATGGCTTCTTCTCAAAGCCCAGACTAATAAGTTTTTAAAGACTGTCCCAAAGTAGCTGAGCCAAAAGGCTAATGATAGTTCACTTTTTGAAATGTGGCAGTTAAACACTACCTTAATCATTCTTTCCTATTTCTCTGAGGAAATACTAGAGGGTTTTAGTATCTGTGAAGCTCTCTGGTGTTATTTCCCTTTTGATGTTTCTTTCCTCCATTTATGAAAATGATACTTCTAAAACACTTTGTTTTATTGTATGGTTTATTCTGAAGTCTTTATTCTGGATACTTTATTAAAGTGCCCTCTTACTTTGGTGACCTTCAGAGACCCTGGCAGGTTCTTCACTGGGGATGTTTTATCCCTCCCAAAGCTGCAGGTAGGGATGGCCATGGAGGGGAGAGAGAGAGAGAAAGGAACAGATAGGAAGGCAAGTGACAGCTGGCTCCCATGATGGAGAGGAGCTGACAGGTCGCCAGTGGTTCCATTAGCCAACTTGCTCCTTTAGGAAGGATCTGATCTTCTTCCTAAGGTGAAGAGGAGCCCAAGGCTCTTCAGTTAAGGCCAGAGAGTTTTGGATTTTTTGACCAGTGGGGCTCTCTAGTCAACATGATGTGGAGGGTCAGTTTGATGGTTATAACCTTCCCAGATGTCTGCTGAGCACCGTCTCTTGACTGAAGGCAGGATAGTGGAGGTTAAAGAGAGTTTTGGGGTGGGGAGTGGGGTAGGGGTGTGTGAGATTCAAGCTGAGGCAATCATGTGAAGAAGATATGGGGTTGGATTTGCAGCCACCGAAGTTTAGGCCTTCAGTGTTTCTGGACACCACAGAATTTAAGGGAACCTGGGGTGCATTGCTTGTGAGGTAAATAAGCAAAGATACTGTTGGGGAGGGAGTTAGGGAATTTATTGCCATGCTAACTAGTGATTAATAAAGACTGGGTGAGATGGATCCTGACAGCAGGGCAAGTTTTTGTTTTCAAGCCTGACCTTTCTTCTAAGCGTGACTTGTTAGAGAATTCCCCAGGGCCCGCTTGACATGGCTACTGATGCCAGCTGTCTTGGTAGGAATCCTGGACTTGTGTCCCAGATGTCAGGAGCTCAGGGAATTACACCAGCCCACCTTTTCTGGGACTGACCAGCAGCGTCCACCCCTTGGTTCTAATTGAGACTCTCCTATTGGTCCCAGATGAAAATACCTGGCTACTGAAGCTCCTTCAGCTGACTTCCTATGGGAAATACAATATACTTTTCAATCCAAGACACGTTTAGTAGTTTTTTGTTTTTTTTTTTTTTTTAAACCCTGCAAAACTAAGAATATTGGTGTGATGTTGTGAAGGATGATAGTGGCCTGGGTTTGGTGATAGAGGGAAAGGCACACTTATGCATGGGTGTCTTTGGTGGTGATGGAGTATATTTTTATAACTTAGTTAAAAAATTTACATGGAATTCTGACTCTTGGGTAAAGCTAGAAACTAGACCAGCAAGTTATGGTCCAGGGTTCTTCCTCTTTTCACTTCTGCTTCATTGAGAATTAAAAGCTAACATCAGGCTGCTACTTTTCCTGATCTCTTCACTCCCCATGTTCACCTTCAGATCTTACTGGTGAGGGGAGGGAGCATTTTGCGAAGTGGTAACTCAGCACGGGACGATCATCCCTTCTCTTCTAGGCAGTTTTCTTAATCAGAGCTCTTGCTGAGTCTCTTCTTTTGAAAAGCTGCTTTAATTTCCATCTCCTCAGTTTGGACTGTGTAGGTATAACTGGATATGAAGATTTTCTCTAAGTCAGGTAGGCTTCTCATATCATTGGTACACAGGACAGGAAAGGACTATAAAAGAATATATTGATGGCACAATTTAAAAACTGAGTTTTATTCCCTCCCCCCACCCCTTTTATTTTTGGATGCAGCCTTCCCTGTCCGCATTTGCTCCTGTTCCATTTTGCTGGTCTTGTGTCTTCTGCCTCTCCCTCTGCTCGCTCCTCTGTCTTGTTGCTGTTGTGTTGGTTCTTGACATGTGGTCTGTCCTAGGGGGTTGCCCCATTTGTTCTTCTTGGGGGTGGGGTGGGGGTGGTTTGTGAATTGATCAAGTGATCATGCCTGTTTTCTTCATCTCTGTTATCTTCCTCCTTCCCAGCCCAGCCAGACAGCAGAATCGATTGAGAGAAGATGCCAGAGGTGTGCTTTGGAAACTAACAGGACTGATTTTCAAAGCAGTTACCTTGGGAAACTGTACATTTATTCCAGTGATGTCACCCTTATCCAAAATAGTTCTTGGACTTTGGAGTCTGTGGTGCTTTTGAATAGCCTTAACGGTGGTAAATCACAAGTCTAGTGAATCACGTCTGTGGTCAAGGAAGGTAGTGAGATCTTAGGTGCAAAGCAAAAGGGCTGGCTATCAAGTAAAATTGCAGGATTTATTTATATGGCTTTTAAACCAGCTCTCAAAGCAATTTTGTAATTTTAGAGAGTATTTTGAGTAATGGCCATATTGTTGTAGTAAGCTTATAGCTTCCCAAGGTGACTGCTTGAAGGACAATATTAATTTGGATATGGACGCTCTGGTTTGTTTGAAGAAATCGGTCCTGTTACTTTCTGATTGGTCATCTCAGGTTCTGACTTTACTAAGGGCAAAAAGAGAAGAGGGAGATAAATCCCATCTGTGAATTTGTCTTATTGGCGCCTTTCCCCAGCTGTCTTCCAAGTATTATTTTTACTGTTAAAAATTTTTTTAAAAAAATGTGAAATGTAATGTTTTTACAGCAGCAATATGAAATATATTTTATAAAGAATAAAATGGTACATTGTCTGATTTAATTTTTGCCTGTCCCTCTACCCCCTCCCCCTACAGAAAATAAGGTGATCATTGTCTTTGGTGGCAAGCAAATGATAATCATGTCATATAGTTGGCAAAGCATACATATCCATTTGCTTATAGTATCAGTAGGTAACAGTTTACCAGATATTAAGCCAAGTGCTTACATAGATTACCTGAAATCAATCCTCCACATAGCCTGTGAGGAAGTTACTATTCTCATTCCCATTTTGTAGGCGAGGAGGCTGGGTTAAGTGACTTGCTAGGTCATGCACTAGGGAATAATGGCACTAGAATTCTAATCTAGGCAGTAACTGTTTTCTATAATGCTTTTATTGACGATGGGGAGCATATTCTTGACCACGTTACTTAGTCTCCTGGGGAGTGGCCCAGTATAAGACTTAGGAGAAAAGAAGTCACATTCTACTTACAGGATGGGTTCTAAACTCAGGGAAAACATGGTTCACTCGCTGTTCCACTTCTGAAAACATCCATTACGTGTATCATGACGGCCTAGATGTCTAATTAAAAGCTGGCCTGGGTGGGAAGGATAGTGGAAGCAGAAAGCATCATCCCATCCTTGCTGCAGGGAGCCTTGGTGGTTAAGTGCTTGTCTGCTAACCAAAAGATTGATGGTTCAAACCCATCAGTGGCTCTGCATGATAAAAGATCCCGTGATCTCTTCTAAAGTGTATAGCCTGGGAAATGCTATGTGGCAGTTGTACTCTGCCATATAGTGTCACTGTGAGTGGAATCAACAACACACAACAACCACCCTTGCTATTCTGGGACTGCATTATGCAGTTTCAGTTGCTGAACTTGAAGAAAGTGAAGCAACTATAGACTTGGGGAAGACAAAGTAAAACTTGTTTGAAGAAGCTGGAGATGTGGGAATCTTTTTAAACATTCAAAATATGTTTAAAATAAGAGGAAAGTTTTCACCCTTTTATGATACAAGGTGGTGGGGGGAGCAGATGGGAGGACCCTTGTTTAATCTCCTTTTCTTTCATATTAAGTCACGTACAGGAAAAGCGTGTTTGAGTAGTGATAAAATTATGTGCAGTGTGGCAGGGGTATGAAGAGAAAAGAAAGTGGAGAGGCATTCAAAATCTTTTGGGACTAAGGCAATTCTAGGAGTGGGGTTTAGGGACCCCTAATAGCGCTGAAGAAGAAGAGTTGATGCTTTTGAGTTGTGGTGCTGGTGAAGAATGCTGAAAGTACCACAGACTGCTAAAAGAACTAACAGATCTGTCCTGGAGGAAGTGCAGCCAAAATGCTCCTTAGAAGCGAGAATGGCCAGACTTCGTCTCACCTACTTTAGTCATGTTGTCACAAGGGACCATTCTCTGGAGCAGGATGTCATGCTTGGTAAGCTGGAGGGTCGACGGAAAAGGGGAAGGCCTTCAACAAGATGGATTGACACGGTGGCTGTGACAATGGGCTCAAGTATAGCAAGGATCACGGAGTTGGGATAGGATCGGGTGGTGTTTCGTTCTGCTGTGCATGGGGTCGCTATGAGTTGGAAATGACTCAACGGGACCTAACAACAATGACGGTAGCTCTGGTAGCATAGTGCCTAAGGCACTTGACTGCTAACCAGAAGGCTGGTGGTTCAAACCCACTGAAGGAAGGTTGGGCAATCTACTTCCGTAGTGATACCACCACCTTGGAAACTGAAGGAGGGATACCCGTGAGTTGGGTCTGACTGGACAGATCATAATAACAATAGTGCTTGGTGGTGAGAAGGTGCAGGGACCTGATGAAGACAGAAGTCAGTCAAAGCCCAGTAGCCTGTGAAGCAGGTATGGGAGGTGGTCTTTTTCTCTCACCTTGGGGTAGAATGGAGGACTTCTTTCTCCCCATTCAGTTTTTTGCTGCCCCACATCTGCCTGTTCTACTGTAACTTGACAAAAGCCCTGACACCCCACCCACCAAAATCAATTAATTGCCTTTGTGCCAGATTCATTTACAGCTCTGTGCCTTGGGAGACTTACATTTATGGTTGCATCAACAGATGCCCTAACATTCTGGCTTCCGGTTGGGTTTGGCCAACAGGAAACACCAGGCTGGAGTTTGAAGGTTGGGAAGAGAGAAATCGGAGTATTAAGTCCCCTGGCTGCCCAGCACAGCATGTGAGTCGCTATATTTCTCTACTGAGAGCTACAGGTCTCAGTGGGTTCCAGAGACTCCCTTTTCCCTGTCAGGGCTCTCCAGCTGCCCAACAAAGTACTTTGCTTTTCCTTACCGACTTCCCATAACCTTCTGTACTTTTATAAATAGACCTTGCATTTAATTTTCCTCAGTTACTACATTTGAAGTATGTTTCATGTCTGGGACTGACAGTTATAGCCAGCCCTTAACTCATTTAGTATTAATTGGAGAAAGTGGTATTACCAGGTTTGTTTTGTCTCCACTGCTTGCCTCATGTCTTAATCCAGTGGTTCCCAAAGTATGGTCCCCAGCCAGCAGCATCGGCCTCACCTGAGAACTTGTTAGGAATGTACATTTCTACTGCATCAGAACCTGGGGCCCCACAGCTTGTTTTCTATGATGCTGATGCACCCTCAACTTTTGAGAACCACTGCTCTTTGCCCCACCCATCCTCTCCACACAGCTATGTGCATCCGTTCCCCACCTCCCCACTTACTCCACTTGGATCTGGCCACACAGTACAGTTACGGTGTATATACACACATATCTTGCATGTTGTACTTTATATAAAGTAGCCCTTTGCCTCTGCCTTCCAGGGAGTGGCAGCTCTGATTGTGCGTGTGGTGGAGTCTGTGCTTTTTAATTGTTATGTTCAAACGGCAAACTAACTTATTAACCATTTGCTCAGTAGAGGTTTAATGGAGAAATATTTGTTTAAAACACTCGGTCAAAAAGAACAACTCGTTTACAAACAAGTTATGGCAGTGACAAGTCAAAACCCCAGGCTTGTAATTTGGTTGGTCATATTCCTTTAACCCACCCCTAGAAGAGGGAAGAGGCAGGTGAAAAGGAAAGATGGGGCCATTTAAATGTTAGCTGGAGGAATTACAAAAATACACTCTGATGTAGCAACAGGGTTGTCATGAAACATGCCATGGGGAAACGGTACAACCAGACAGGGTACTCTCCCTTGGGGTGGAGACCTGGAGGCAAATCCCGCAACACCTGCAGATGCTCAGTGCCTTGGGGAGGAAGGAATCCCGATTCCTTGCCGGCAGGTCTGGGGCTGGAGACATGCTGTTTTGGGGATCACCCGGATACCTGGGGAGACAGAAATAATTAAAATGGCAAACCCAGTAGTTTTCCTGACTCTTCAATCTATTTGCCTATTTATTATTCAATCCTATTTGAAATGATCAAAGACAGGCAAAGAAAAGCTATCAGCCCAATCATTAGTTCCTAAAGTAGCAAGAAGGGTTCCCTAACTCCTGCACATCTGCTTGCCTGATCAGAGTGTATTGTTAGGACTCATGGAATTAAGGAAGGTCTGTGTGCTGTGACTCGAAAAGTGTAGTGACAGGCCTCTTGCCCTGCGAGAGTTTTTCTTATCCCTGATATTTGGAATTCCATTTTTAGCAACTCATTTGTCTAGGCTAAATAGTGTCCTCATTTATAGATCTCTTATATTGCAAATGCTTTTTAAGCCTGATGTCATGAATATCTCATCACGAGTGAATCCGCTCACTTTCCACTGTTTAGCTGGAGGCAAAGGAGGAGAGGAGACCAGTGCTAGGGTCAGGGGAAGGGAAGGGAGATACCAAGACCAACTGTTCCTATTTCATAGGTCTGACTAGGGTGGTCCTGCAGCCCACAGTCTCCTTCCTAGTACATCATTACACTTTCTGAATAGGGTTTCTTTATCCCATTGTAGTGGTATGTGGTCTCATTTCTGCCTGTTATAAGTTGGGAGAAACAGTGGATCAGTAGATTTGTTTTTGATATCTTAGAAGTCAAGAACAGCTTTGGTAGCAGGATCGACCCCACACTAGAGAAATGACAATAACTGTAAGGCAGGTTGAGCTGTGTATGTGAAGGCAAGGTTTAAGCTGCCTGTTCTAGACTCATAAATACATATCCATGAACTAACCACAACCATGAATGTGGTGACAAAAGAAACAGACGTGGTTGCAGAAGGAGAACAAAGAGCAATCAATAATACCCAAATGAGCTGGTTAATGTTTCCATTAAGAACATTACATCTTGAGCAAAGTAGCAGGCAGAAGCTAGTTCCCAGCTTTGTTTCAGCCCGTCTCCATCAAAAACAATAGAAAATTAGAAAAACCAACTGCCTGAATAGGGGCTCAAATGGGTTTTTTAAATAAATTGATTCCTGCTTGGTGACTGATTTTCAACTGTCCTTGGGTAGAGAAAACTGTTATAGTTCAGAATTAGACATGAGCTTTAGTGTCCCTTAAGAGCTGCTTTAAAGAAGAGCATCTTTAAGATTTGAAAGAATTCAATACTTTATTGTGAAATATTTTCTATTAGGTACTGTGCAGATATGGCTGAGGAAGAAATAGAATGTTTGTTAAGGATCCAAGAATATGACTTCAGAAACAAGAGTGAGGTTAATTCGGGGCCTTTGGAGATTAGTCATTCTGCTAAAATAGACACAACATCCTTCTCCTCACCACTTAATACTTGTGTCCATATTTGGCAATGGGCCTATAGCAAACAAGATTGCCTACCTGCAAAGTGCTATCTTCAAAGAGCTCTCCTCCCATGCCAGGCCAAAGATTTACACAGGTATAAATACACTTGAAGGAATGTTACTAATGGTTTGGTTACTTTTGACTTATGGGAAGTAAAATAAAACAGTGTCTTTTTTTTTTTAATGCCTCAGAGTCAGGGAAAAGCCTCACTTGGGTATATTTTAGGATGATTTTGATCGACTGACTCATTCTTTGCATTAGGTCAAGTTTCTAGGATGTTTAAGATGTATGGCACTCTGCAAATGATCATATTCCTATATACAAAGTAAGACACAGGTATATGATAGTTTGGGATTTTTCTGAAGTTCTATTGTGCTAGTTCCCAGTGCCACTCAAAATTGTGTATTAGTTGATAGGCTAAAGAAAGTCAAGTTTGTAATAAGTGGGCAATCTGTGTTGTGTGCACATATGTAAACATGCATGTGGAGGTGGGAAAAGACCAGAAGAAAGGGAGAACAAGGAAGGAGGGGGAGAGGAATAAAGTCAAACGAAAATGAAACTATAGAAAAAAGTGAATAGTGAGGAAGGATGATGGATTTCTTAGTTCATATTCTAAAAGCTACTAGGTCTGTTGGGCCAAATTCTCAAAGCCTTGCTCAGTGATGCTGCCATCAACCACCCTCTCTGGCAAGTTGATAAGATGGGCAAATGGCTTGTGGAAGTATGAAAAGCAGAAAGCATAACCACTGGTCCTAGCATGAACTCCTTGACTTGGAAAGAGTGGGAAAGTTTAATGGTTTCCATGGAATCCAGTCACCTTAACACATAGGGGGTAGGGAAGAGGATAGATAAGCTGTCTTTGAAGATGAAATAACATCATAACCACAGTAATCAGACCCTTTGCAAATGACTAAGAGTGGGTCCAGCTACTGGTTTTTAGAGAGAAAGTTTCTGAGGAAAGGTGAGCTGAATGGTTGCTATGGAAACTGGATAGGAAGATTGGTCCACTTAACTGTCCCCATAGTAACTAAGCTCCTGGAGAGATACAGAAGAAGTTATCTTAGCATACTATTATTATCCCCATGGTAACCAAGCTTTAAATGGGAGTGGTCAGCCTCAAGGTGCAATTCTAGAAGAATCTTTGCTCCCTAGGGCAAAGATGGGCCAGTTAGTCCCCCTTTCAGGAGGGAAGAAGATGACCTCACAGACCCCACAGCAACTGAACTCCTTGAAGTTCTGCGATGTGTTTGTGTGTGTGTGTGCGTGTGTGTTTGGGATAGAGGGTGGGTAATGTGCTTCTAGGAGCTCTGATGGTGTAGTGCCTAAGGCATTTGACTGCTAACCAGAAGGCTAGCGGTTCAAACCCATCAGCCAATCTCGGAAGGAAGACTGAGCAATCTACTTCCCTAGTGATACTGTCTGGGAAACCCAGGGAAGGGTCGCTATGAGTCGGATCCGACTCCATGGCAATGAGTTTGGTTTTTTGGAATGTGCTTCTAGGACTGGGAAGAAGCCTAAGACAGTTGTGTGTATGAGGTTTCTTCTTGACCCCAGCTCATTTGTGCCCAACTCACTCATGGGTTGAAGTGGACGGTGCAGCTGGGAGGGGCTCCCCTTCCGGCTACGCATTACCATTCTGGTGCAGGGTGCGCCGGCGCTGGCTGGACTGCATGCTGAGGACGAGGTACTGCCTCATAAACTCACTGAACCGCTTCTGGTTGGCCAACTTCCGAGCCGACTTCCGGGCCCCAGTGAAGCCCCCAAATCTCTTCTGCAACTGCTTCTGCTCCATCTCTCCAGTCTCATCCATGCCAGGTTCTGTGTTTTCCTGTACTTGGAACAGGCTCCTGATGCGAGGCATTCGCTTCAGATTCTGCATCTCAGATGCTCTTGGCTGGTAAAGAGCAGCAGCCACGTGCTCTGGGGCAGTAGGGCTGAGCTGCCAGGACCTCCTGGTCAGGACCTTGGTGCATGGAGTCAAGAGAGGGCTTGGGAAGACCTTTTCTTCACACTCAAGGATGCACACCTGCCAAAGACAGAGATAGGAGGAAGAGAAAAGAAAACAGGGACCTCTATTAGCCCAAAGCTATGGAAAAGATACATCCCTCAATAGTCTATGTCTGTATCATGCAAGTGTTTCCAAAGCGTTTATTTACTGAGTACTGTGTAGCAGTTTTACACATAAATATTTAGGTTCATAGAATTCCAGACTTGGAAAGAAACAGAGAACCATCTGGTCAAGTACACATTTTATAAAAGAAAAAACTGGGACTCAGAAAGGTGAAGTTAATTTACACAAGGTAACACAGCAAATTGGTACAGGATGTGCGCACCCAAATTGCATACTATTACTTTCTTAGTTGAGTCTTTGAAGTCAAACTCACCCATGAGAGTCACCTATATTATTTTGTTCTCTCATCAGGCTTGAGGGAGGTCAGACTGGTTGAAGAAATTGGGGGTATGAGAATGGGTAGTTAGTGACACTGCCTTGGAAACCCAAGGAGATCTGACTATGAGTCAGATCTGATTTGATGGCAGTGACTTTGGTTCTTGGTTTTAGTTAAATCTGAATGCTTATTTTAAGGTCACCAAATAAAGATCAATCCTGGTGTTATCAATTTCTCATCCTGCATATATTTATTCGTCACTGTGCCTCATTTGCCATCGCTCATCTGTCGGTTTGTCGTATTGTGTGGCTTGCATGTTGCTGTGAGGCTGGAGGCTATGCCACCGGTATTTCCAATACCAACAGGGTCACCCATGGTGAATAGGTTTCAGCAGAACTTTCAGACTAAGACAGACTCAGAAGAAGGAAGGGGCCATCTACTTCTTGAAGAATTGGCCAGTGAAAACCTTATGAATAGCAGAGAAACACTGTCTGATATATTACTGGAAAACTTTATGAATAGCCCTGAAACGCTGTCTGATACAGTGCCAGAAGATGAGCCCCTCAGATCAAAAGACACTAAAAACATGATGGGAAGAGCTGTCTCCTCAGAGTAAAGCCGATCTTGATGTGGGTGGAATAAAGCTTTTGGGACCTCTGTTTGCTGATGTGGCATGACTCAACATGAGGAGAAACAGCTGCAAGCATCCATTAATAATCAGAACATGGGATGTACAGAGTATGAATCTAGGAAAATTTGAAGTTGTCAAAAATGAAATGGAACGCATAAAGATCAATGTTCTAGGCATTAGTGAGCTGAAATGGACTGGTTTTGGCCATTTTGAATCAGACAACCATATAATCTACTATGCTGGGAATGACAAATTGAAGAGGAATGGCGTGGCATTCATTGTCACAAAGAATGTTTCAAGATCTATCCTAAAGTACAGTGCTGTCAGTGATAGGCTAATATCCATATGCCTACAAGGAAGACCAGTTAATACTGCTACAATTCAAATTTATGCACCAAACACTAAAGCCAAAGATGAGGAAATTGGAGACTTTTACCAAATTCCGCAGTCTGAAATTGACCAAACATGCAATCAAGATGTGTTGATTATCACTGGTGATTGGAATGCAAAAGTTGGAAAGCAAGAAGAATCACTGGTAGTTGGAAAATATGGCCTTGGTGATAGAAATGGGGCTGGAGATCACATGATAGAGTTTTGCAAGACCAATGACTTATTCATTGCAAATACCTTTTTCTTCCACAACATAAATGGCAGCTAAACTTTGCCAGATGGAGTACACAGGAATCAGATCGACTACATCTGGGGAAAGAGGCAATGCAGAAGCTCAATATCTTCAGCCAAAACAAGGCCAGGAGCTGAATGTGGAACAGACAATCAATTGCTCATATCCAAGTTCAGTTTCAAGTTGAAGACAATTAAAAGAAGTCCATGAGAGCCAAAATATGACCTTGATTATATCCCTTCTAGATTTGGAGACCACTTAAAGAATAGATTTGATGCATTGAACACCAATGATCAAAAACCAGAGGAATTGTGGGATGGCATCAAGATCATCCAGGAAGAAAGCAAAAGGTCATTAAAAAGACAAGAAAGAAAGAAAAGACCAAAATGGATGTCAGAAGAGACTCTGAAACTTACCCTTGAATGGAGAGTAGCTAAAGCAAATGGAAGAAATGACAAGATAAAAGAGCTGAACAGAAGATCTCAGAAAGCAGCTTGAGAAGACAGTCAAATTTTATAATGAAATGTGCAAAGATCTGGAATTAGAAAACTAAAAGGGAAGAACACACTAGGCATTTCTTAAGCTGAAAGAACTGAAGAAAAAATTTAAGCCTCAAGTTGCAATATTGAAAGATATTTCAATATTGGGCAATATTTTGAATGATGCAGGAAACATCAAAAGAAGGTGGAAGGAATACACAGAGTTACTGTACCAAAAAGAATTGGTCGATGTTCATCCATTTCAGGAGGTGGCATACAATCAAGAACCAATGGTACTGAAGGAAGAAGTTGAAGCTGCACTGAAGGAATTGGCAAAGAACAAGGCTCCAGGAATTGACAAAATACCCACTGAGATGTTTCAACAAAAAGATGCCATGGTGGAAGCACTCACTTGTCTATGCCAAGAAATTTGGAAGACAAAAACATTATGCAGAGTGAAAAAAAAATTTGGAAGACAGCTACCTGGCCAAATGACTGGAAGAGATCCATATTTGTACCCATTCCAAAGAAAGGTGATCCCACAGAATGTGGAAATTATCTAACATTATCATTAATATCACACACAAGTAAAATCTTGCTGAAACTAATTTAAAAACGGTTGCAGCAGTATATTGACAGATAACTTTCAGAAATGCAGGCTGGGTTCAGAAGAGGATATTAGGGATATCATTGCTGATGTCAGATGGATCTTGGCTCAAAGCAAAGAATACCAGAAAGGCGCTTACTTGTGTTTTATTGACTATGCAAAAGGGTTTGATTGTGTGGATCATAACAAATTGTGGATAATATTGTGAAGAATGGGAATTCCAGAACACTTAATTGTACTCATGAGGAACCTGTACATAGACCAGGAGGCTGTCCTTTGAACAGAACAAGGGGATATTGCATGGTTTCAAATCAAGAAGGGAGTGTGTTAGGCTTGTATCCTCTCACCATACTTATTCAATCTGTATGGTGATCAAATAATCCGAGAAGCTGGACTATATGAAGAAGAGCATGGCATCAGGATTGGAGGAAGACTCATTAACAACCTGTGATATGCAGATGATACAACTTTGCTTGCTGACAGTGAGGATGACTTGAAGCATTTACTGATGAAGATTAAAGACTACACTTTGCACTATGGATTACATCTTAACATAAAGGAAATGAAAATCCTCACAACTGGACCAATAAGCAGCATCATAATAAATGGAGAAAAGATTGAAGCTATTGAAGATTTCATATTACTTGGTTCCACAATCAATACCCATGGAAGCAGCAATCAAGAAATCAGAGGACATATTGCACTGGGTAAATCTGCTGCAAAAGATGTCTTTAAAGTGCTAAAGAGCAAAAATATCTCTTTGAAGACTAAGATACACCTAACCCAAGCCATGGTATTTTCAATTGCCTCATATGCATGTGAGAGCTGGACAATGAATAAGAAAGACCAAAGAAAAGTTGATGCTTTTGAGTTGTGGGGCAAAAAATACTGAAAATACAATGGACTGCCAGAAGAACGAATAAATTTGTCCTGGAAGAAATAAAGCCAGAATGCTCCTTGGAAGTGAGAATGGCCAGACTTCATCTCACCTACTTTAGTCAAGTTATCAGAAGGGACCATTCCCTGGAGAAGGATATCATGCTTGGTAAAGTGGAGGGTCAACAACAAAGGTGAAGGCTCTCAACAAGATGGATTGACACAGTGGCTGCAATGATGGGCTCAGGTGTAGTAAGGATTATGAGGCTGGCACAGGACCAGATAGTGTTTTGTTCTGTTGTACATAGGGTTGCTATGAATTGGAGCTGACTTGACAGCACCTAACAACAACAACATGCATCATCTGTAGAAAATAGGGATAAGCCACTTTGTGATATCGGTAGGTCAGGAATTTAGGGCTAAACCTGCAGTTCAGTTTCAGGTGGGGAAAGAGATGCCACCAGATGCATGCCAGGTAGATCTACCGGACCCCTGCAAACACCCTTACTGCTGCTCTGTATCTTCCTCACCACCAATTTCTAGTCTAGACCACTATAGCTTGACCATGATGTTTTTTCAACCCCCGCTGATTGTTCCTAACCCTTGCTGCACCCTCCTGGGCTCCTGTCTTTGGTTAGGTCTTTTGGAAATCTCTGCCTCCATATTTTCTTCTTTTTTGCAGTTTTGGCTTCACTCCTAATTCTCATCTCCATTTTCTAGCCTTAGCCAGATGAAAACCCCATCTCTTCCTAACCTTGCCAACATGGGTCAGCAGGAAGGTACAAAAATCCTTCATCCAGCCTTGGAGTTTTTGCCTGGCTTACAGGGCAGTCGTCTGGGATGTTGCAGGACATCAGAAGATCGGTGTGTGTGTCCCAGAACCCCTAGGTGGGGAGCTAAAGCAGTCACCCAGTGTTCAGGAGGACAGATTCCTCCGTGGGCAGCCTTTCCAATCTGATCTCTACCCAAAAAGTACAACGACCAGGCAGCTTAGGTCAGAGACCTTACAGGTTGAAACACTTCATCCTAAAAATAACCTTCCTTCAATCTGACTTCTCCTGCATACCTTTGTCACCAAGTCCCAGTCTATGAACCTCTTTAGTCACTGACAAACTTCTCCAAAATGCTATCTGTATGTGATGCCTCTATTTCAGCAGCTTCTAGTTACTTCTCAGCTCACTGGAATCTGGTTTCCTCTCTCATCCACTCCAACTAAATCTTCTTTCTTGAGGGTAAACATTGACTTTCTAGTCACCAGATCCAGCCAGCCTAGTTAGTCCTTCTTCTCATTGACTCTGCACAGCATTGGCAATGGGGACCACACACCCTCTTCTTAAAACTCTCCTTCTGATACTGCACTCAGAACACAGCCTGTTGGTGCTCCTTTTCCCCTGTTCCTAAGATGCTCTCTTTACCCCTTCTCT